GAGCACCTGGTGGGTTCGAACTGCCAACCTTTTGGTTAATAGCCATAGCTCTTAACCACTACGCCACCAGGGTTTCCATAGGTCTCTCTAAACCCAGCAAATACTTTTCTTTCTTTCTGTGCCCCACCTACACCCAGTCTTAGCAAGGCAAGACTTGGGACTAGGAGAGTGTGATCCTGTAGGCCAAGGCACCAAGAACCACTCAACAAGCCCTTCTTCTCACGGGGCCTCAGTTTACTCAACTACGAATGAGAGGGACAGTGTCCTCTGGTTCTGATTCTCTCTTGCCAGGAGGCCATGCTTTTCCAAGAGTCCCTAAAAAGTAACCTATTTTTTTCATTTCCAGGTTTAACTTGACTTTTGTGCCTCCCCGAAAATTTCTTCCTCTCCTCCCACTCTAGTTGCCTCTAAGTCACTGCCTGGGAAAACCAACCTGGTGCGTTGAGTTGATTCTGACTCATAGCAACCCTATAGGCAGAGTGGAACTGCCCCAAAGGGTTTCCAAGGAGCAGCTGGTGGATTTGAACTGCCGACCTTTGGGTTAGCAGCTGAGCTCTTAACTACTGTGCCACAAGGGCTCCCCTGGGAAAATAGCAGGTAGGAAATCTGAGAGAGAGTTTTAGAAGAATAAGAAGGCAAGGCAGGAAAGGCACAGCCTCAGAAAACAGCATTTGCTGTGTTTATTTTCCTGTCTGTCGCGTCTGACTTAGATTACAGGGATCTGTGGGGTGATGACCACGTCTGGTCCAGGCCATGCACCCACCTCGGAGGTGTGCTTGTTTTTCAATCCGCTGCCTTTGCATGAAAGTCTTCAGGGCCAAGATGCATGACGATGCCGTTTGTCAGCTGGTTTACATGTTCTGCGTCCAGTTCTTCCAGAGAAATCATTCTGCCATGGCTCTAGAGAGGAGGAAGACAGCAGGGGTCGGAGAGGGGTAGAAGAGCAGCCCCTGGGCTGGGAGGCCAGCGTCACCTGCCTTCCAGTCTGCCCTGCCCCTCACCCAGTCCTGGACCCAAGACCTCCTGCTGTCCTATCCCTGTTCACACAGGCCCACTTGGCCCACTTACAATGAAATGACGGAGCAGAAAGAGAGCTCAGGGGTCACTGAGTGGCATTTTGTGGATAAAAAACCTAAAGGTTGAGAGAAGTGACTTGTTTACATGGCGGGTGAGTGTGAGTCCTAGAAGTGCCCCTTCCACACCCCAGGCCTGTGCCCTGGCATCTCTGCAGAAAGCTGGGGAACGCTTTATGGGCCATAAAGGGCAGTTGAGTGTTACCACTTAGAATGCAGGCTTTGCATCCCGACTTCTCCTTGTACTGGCATGTGACCTTGGGCAGCTCACTTCCCAGATTCCTCATCTGTAAAATGGGAATCATAAGATCTATGATGGTGATGATGATGATACCAACCTGCAAGGCCTGCTGTGAGGGTTCGATGAGGCGTGCCAGAGAAACACTGGTGCCTGCGCAATGACAGCACACCTTCTTTGACAGACCCATGTGAGCGTCCGCTGTATGCCAGGCCCTGGGCTACAGCAGTAAGTGACCCAGACTGGTATTGCCCCCATGGAGCCTGCATTTTCCTGCTCAGTAAGTGTTCTTCATAAGACCAAGAAGGAGAATTAGTTCATTTTGTCTCCCAGGACATCCTCCTTCTGGGTTCTATTTTCTGTTTATGTCCAGTAGACTCTTAGGGATGTTCCAGAACACAGACTTATCTTTCCTAACATGACCTTTAGGTACCAAAATGTTAGCACGGGGCAGGTGACCCAGTCAGCCTCTGCGGTATTGAAGAGTCACCTCTTGTGGCTGAGTTGAACCAAAAAGCCCATAAGCCTAAGGGTGTTTGTTGTTTTGGGATGGGGGTTGAGCCTCCCTGCTTACTGAGTTCTTCCCATGTGTCCCACTCCTCTACTAAAAGAAAGTATTGGTCCTTCAGAAGCACACAGTTTATTTATTTTGCATAGTGAAGAGTAGTCTATGTTTTTAAGGATGATTTTATTCCTCCAGGGGACCCCTGTAATTCATTCAGCTTCCTATTGGTATGTCTGACTATCTCCTGCCCCAAAGGGTTGGGGGTGGTGGGGTCATTAGGAGCCAGGATAGTGAGACCCATTGCTCTGTTATCTGCTCCATGGGGATGAATGAGGGAGCCCAGCAGCCAGATGTCTCATACCCTGGAAATGATCCTTGGTTCTCCTGCTCCTGACTTGGAACCTATGGAAAATTCTAGAAGCAGCTTAAGAAAACCCACCCTCCTGTGCCATCTTCACAATCATTGGTATGCTTGAGTCCATTGTTGTAGCCACTGTGTATTTTGAGTGCCTTCCAACCTAGGGGGCTCATCTTCCAGCACTATATCAAACAATATTCTGTTGTGATCCATGAGTTTTCTTTGGCTAATTTTCAGAAATAGATCTCCAGGCCTTTCTTTCTAGTCTGTCTTAGTCTGGAAGCTCTGCTGAAACCTGTCCACCATGGGTGACCCTGCTGGTATTTGAAATACCTGTGGCATAGCTTCCAGCATCACAGCTACAACCTTATATGAAAAAAACAAATAGCACAATTACAACTATGTTTTTTAAATTCATAAAATAAAAGATTGGAAGGAAATCCTAAGCCTTTGCAAATCCATAGATTCATGGAAACAGACTTATTTGCACAAGCATTTGGCTTTTCCCTGAGTTACGCATCCATTAAAAGTCAAGTTCTCATACCACAAGTTAACTGCCTTTTCAGATGTGACCAACATGTTCTCTTTTGCTTCAAGGCCATTTTTCACAAAACAATCACATTTTTACCCCTTCTCAAGAGTTCCCACCTGCTCCATGGTGACTGAGAACAGCAGAGCCGTGTTGAGATGGGGGTGGGATTCGGGGAGCATTAGGTCCACACTCTAGTATCTCACCCCTCCATGGCACCCCAGAGCAAGACAGGTTCAAATTTATTTTTCAGTCAAATGACACATTCTGTCTGTCCTGAACTTTCAAGCTGTTTACGACTGGTCAGAATTCCAAAAACTTAATCTGTGACTGTCCAGAAGTCTTGTAGGCCAGGATGTTAACAGTAGTTATATACAAAGGAAAGGTTGAAAGAAAATGAAGGCAACCTAAGAAGTTAGGCACAGTAGAAGATAACATTGGGAAATATATTTTAAAGAAATTTTAAAAGGTTAAAAATAAGTAAATGGGCTATTTTTTGCAATTCTTCTGAAGTCCAAAATGATGTCAAAACAACAAGTTAAAACATTAATTAAACGAAAGGTTAAAATCTAGGGTGAAAAACTTAAAGTAAAAATAATGAAATACTATAAGGATGTAAAATAAATCAAAACATAGACAGTTGACATTTTTAAAGAGTAAGGAATAAAAAGCAAGACCAAAAATTATACAAGTTTAAAGAGAGGAAGTGAAAGTAACTAGAACAGGGGTGGGGGGTAAAAGATAAGGATAAAAAGAAATATAAAGTAGAAAACAGATAATTTAAAAGGAAGATGTCTTAGTTATCTAATGCTGCTATAACAGAAATACCACAAGTGGATGGCTTTAACAAAAAGAAATTTATTCTCTCACAGTCTAGGAGGCTATAAGTCTGAATTCAGTGTACCAGCTCCAGGGGATGGCCTTCTCTCTCTGTCAGCTCTGGGGGAAGGTCCTTGTCATCAGTCTTCCCCAGTTGAGGAGTTTCTCAGCCCAGGGACCCTGGGTCCAGAGGATGCGCTATGCTCCTGGTGCTTCTTTCTTGGTGATATGAGGCTCTCATGTCTCTCTGCTCACTTCTCTCTTTTATATCTCAAAAGAGATTAGCTCAAGATACAACCTAACCTTGTAGATTGAGTCCTTCCTCATCAACACAACTGCCACTAACCCCATTTCGTTAACATCATGGAGATAGCATTTGCAACACATAGGAAAATCACATCAGATGACAAAATGGTGGACAATCACATAATATTGGGGATCATGGCCTACCCAAGTTGACAGATATTTTAGGGGGACACAATTCAATCCATGACAGAAAGTATCCAAATAAAAGACAGGACAGTGAAATTACAAAGGTAAAAACGTAAAATAATGTGGTAATTCAAAGCAACACAAACCAGAGCAAAATGGCATGTTTAAAAGTCCAGAAATTCAAAGGTATGAGTGATTTTTAAAATAAAAATATATTCTAAATAAAGATGAAGACCAAGTATAAGAAAACGAGTTTCCAGCAGGCTCTGTTGAGCTGAAGTAGCATCTCCCAGCTGGGGGTTTTTGGGGAAGGGAGTGGCATGTTGCTCTTTAGCCCCAAACCCTCACACTCTCACACGACCCCCAGTGAGCCCTAAATTCAGGACTTATCAGGCCACCAGGAGAACCGTCCTGAGAATGCACACCTGAGGGTCCTAATGAACGCCAATGAGTGAAGGCCACAGCGCTGACCTCCAGAGAGGCTTGCTGAGCTCAAACCTGAGGGAATCATGACACCCACATCAAGAGTTGGTTTGCCTGTGCCGTGCCGTGTGCTTGAACAATCACTTACCTCCCTGTGCCTCATTTTCCTCATGGGAGATGCCCGGCTGATGCCCTCCCTCTCCTCTTCATAAAAAAACAAAAACAAAAACTTCTAGTCAGCAGCATTTATTTTTTAATGAAGTAGAAGGAGTGCTTGACTGGGAATAATAGCAAGTCAGGCTTGCTGAATCTGCCTCATCTGGTGGTTTTGAATATGGACTGAAGTGACAATCACAGTGCTGTAGAGTCAATTCCAACTCATAGAGGTGACATTAGTGAATTAAAAGCACACAGAAAGGTAAACAACACTTTGGCAGGGATGGAATTTTGGGGGTGAGGTGGGGTTAGGAGAGGCAGACATCCTGCCTGCAATGAGCTGGAGAGGGGGCACCTTCCTCTGCCTCCCACCCCCAAGCACTCCAAGGGATTCGCTTAGGTCCCTCAGCTCGACATCACAGCCCTCATCCTCCCATCTTCCTTCTCCAGGTGAGCCTTGAACCAGGATGGCTGAGCCCCGCCAGGAGTTCAATGTGATGGAAGACCATGCTGAGACGTATGAGCTGGGGGAGAGGAAAGATCTCCCCTCTCAGGGAGGCTACACCCTGCTGCAAGATCACGAGGGTGATGCCGACCATGGCCTGAAAGGTTAGTGGACAGCCACGCACCCCAGGTCCAGGGCGCCTTGGAAATCACAGTCAACCCACTTGCTTTGGAGAGGGTTGGCAGAAGGGTTCAAATCCAGATTTTTAAAGGGTTTTAAATAGCTCCATTGTGTTGGATTGTCAAGCCAGTGAAGCCTCATTCATTTGGATGGGCCAAGATAACTCAAAATGTGAGGTTATTTGAAAATTTGCCTTTCCAAAGGAGAGTTTACCAGATGAGTGAATGTAGTATGGCGAAGATTACAGGGACCTTGTCAACCCAATTAATACAGGCTGCACTCTTGAGTCTTTAGTCACACCTGTTAACCTGCAAATTAGCAATATCCCTTAGCATGCAAAATACATGGCTTTTTACCCATGCAAAATACATTATTTTTATCTCTTCCTTAAATCAGACTTTGTTGTTGTTGTTGGGTACCGTCATGTCAATTCTGACTTCTGGTAGTCCTAGGTGACAGAGTAGAACTGTCCCATAGGGCTGCCTAGGCTGTAATCTTTACGGGAGCAGATCATCAGGTCTTTTCTCCCACAGAGCGGCTGCTGGGTTCAAACCACCGACATTTCGGTTAACAGCTCAGTGCTTAACCGTTGCACTACCAAATCAGGCCTATCTGGTCCCTATTTGGCAAGAATTGGGTAGCTCTGGGATTCTTCACATACTCAAATTAATAAACTACGTCAGCTTCTAAATATTCTGTAATTTAGTCATTTGGCCAAATTGGTGTGGTCTCCTCCCCTCCCCTTCCAAACAAATGTGCTTCATTTCACTGTCTGACCACCATGTTTGGGAACCCAGTGGAGCACGTAGAAGCCTTTCTCCCATGCCCCATGGCCAGCCTCCAAGTTACTGTAGGGAGCAGGGCCCATTGTATTTACAGGCAAGGTAGGTTGGTTTAAAAATTAAGTTAAAAACATATATTATACATTCTTCAAAATAACTGCCCAGTATTCTTCAAAAGTATTGTGGTCATGAAAACAAAGAGAGACTATGGAACTGTCGTAGGTTGGAAGAGACTAAGGAGCCATAATAACTAAATGCAGTGAAGGATCCTGGACCAGATTTTGACATTAATGAGACATGGGTCAAGTTTGAATAAGGTCTGTAGGTTAATTGATAATATTGTATCAAGATCATTGAGCTAAGGTGATGTAAGATGTTAACATTTAGGGACCCTAGGTGAAGGGCATGAGAAAACTCTTTCTACAATTTTTACAACTTTTTTGGGGTCTGAAATTGTTTAAAAATTAAATATATGTGTATTTATATACATATATATATACACATCCAAAACCAAAACCCACTGCTGTCAAGTCTATTCTGACTCATAGCAACCTCATAGGGTTTCCAAGGCTGTAAATCTCTACGGAAGCAGACTGCCACATCTTTCTCCCGAGGAACAGCTAGTGGGTTCGAACTCCCGACTTTTCAGTTAGCAGTCGATCACTTTAACCACTTCGCCACCAGGGCTCCTTATGTATCTAGTACATATATATATTTGCAACAAATTTTCCATAATAATCTACAGTATTGATAATAAGGGATACTGGAGGTGGGGTGTATCCGAACTTTCTGTTCTATCTGCATAATTTTTCTGTAAATAATCATTCTAAAATAAAAAATCCATTTAAAAAAAAATCAGGAAAAAAAGTGATTTTTATCACCCTTACCTTTTTTTCTTTTTTCTTTTATTGTACCTTAGATGAAGATTTACAGAGCAAATTAGTTTCTCGTTAAACAATTAATACACATATTGTTTTGTGACCTTGGTTGCCAACCCCGATGACATGTCAACACTCTCCCCTTCATGACCTTGGGTTCCCCGTTACCAGCTTTCCTGTCCCCTCCTGCCTTCTTGTCCTTGCCCCTGAGCTGGTGTGCCCATTTATTCTCATTTTGTTTTATGGGCCTGTCTAATCTTTGGCTGAAGAGTATCACCCTTACTTTTTGAAAGGGAAACGAACAAGCTTACCAAGTTATTTTGTGCCTCAGTGTTTCCTGAAGTGTATTTGCTAAAACTATTCAGTTCTTTAAGATAAAACAGGATGAGAAGTTGTATGCTAAGAGATTAGATATATATGTATGTGTACGTATATATGCATGTACATATAGCAAATTTTAAGTTGCTAACCTTTTTGAAACTGCTGTGAAAGAAAAGCATTTTAGGATCATTTGTTTATGCAAAGAATATACTTCCCAAGAAAGTAATACCCAAGAGATCTTCATCATTCTTACCAAATTAGCTCTTGCTGCTGGGGATTTAGAATGAGTTACTTCTGTATGGGGAGTGACGGATTTGACTTGGCAGCAGTGTAATTTTTATTAGTGACATTTTAGATAAGTGACAGAAGTCTATTTTGAATAATAACAAGAAACCACATGTTAGAGAACAGAGAGCATATAAGTGGATGCTAAAAATTGGAATAGGGCAGATACGGCCAAAGAGAACTGGAAAGCGGGTGAAAGTTGGTTAGCTGATAAAATAAGGCACCCTAATGAATTAATGGAGTCCCTGAGTGGTGCAAATGGTTAAGCACTCAGTTACTAACCGAAAGGTTGGTGGTTCAAGTTCACCCAGAGGCACCTCGGAAGAAAGACCTGGCAGTCTACTTCCAAAAGATCACAGCCATTGAAAACCCTGTGGAGCACCGTTCTACTCTGCCACACATGGGGTTATCATGAGTTGCAGTAGACCCAATGGCAACTGTTTGTTTGTTTTTGAATGAATTCATAGATGTTGAGGGGTTAACTTGTAATTTAACAAGAATAATGTAAATGATGAGGACTGCAAATGATGAGGGGTGTTTGGGGGACAAGCGTGCTTGGGTCACCCTTCATGCCCATATACTCCTGTGCCTTGGCAGTCAAGGCTGCTAATGACACAAAACCTGGAAGACCATCTGCATGATGCTTCGTCATCATTTCTCCCAAGCCTTCTTGAGGCAGTTTGCAAGTTTCCTTACCTCTTTCTCTGCAAGCTCCAGGACGGGTGGCTGCTGAAGCTTGTTGAGAATTCATCATTCTTATGCAGGATGGGCACAGCAGGGCTAGGGGTTGAGGGTCTGTGTTTTGGCAAAGGGCGTCTGATCTCACTGTGGACTTGAACACCACTAGCCTATGCACAGAACCAGCCCCTGGACCTGAAACTGACTCTAAGGCTGTCCCCCACCGCAGGTAGAGAGGCTTTCTTGGAGCCCCCCAGAGCCTCCCTGAGTTCTTATCTCTGGCTTGCACTTCTGGATGTGGCTGTAGTGGGGACCCCGGGGAGATCAGAGCCTGTGGCAGATCTGGGTCTTGCTCAGGATGCAGCTCATGTCCACTTCAGATAAGCGTCCCCTGTACTTTTGTGCTTCTCCTTATCTTGAAGCCATTTTCAGCACCTTCTTTACCCACAACTTGGCCTTTACCCTTTGATACTTCAGTGCTGGGTCCCCCTGAAGTCACTAGCTCTGGAATGTCCTCTAGCCTCACAGTTGTGACTTTGCCGAGGCATAATGACATCTGAATCTCTAGCTCAGGAAACCTGTCCCCTTCACCCACAGGACATCTCCACTGAATGTCCCAGCCACCCCTGAAACCTAACAAATCAAAACCCTGCTCCATGCTCCCCTCTCTCTGGACCATTCCTGGTTTCTCCACTGCTGTCAGTGGCACCACCATCAACTAGTGGAACAGATGATCCATTAGCCCTTCATCACACCCTGCACAACACCCCGGGGATCTTACCCTCCATTACGCCGACCCAGACCGTCTCGCCACAAACCATGATTATGCAAAAACAACAACCTTCTTGGCCTGGACACCCTCCTCCCTTCATCCTGTCATCCACCAACAGGCAAAAGCCACTCCTCAAAGCTAGGGCCAGCAAACTGTGGCCCGCAGGCCAGATCTGGCCTCCAACCTGCTTGTATCCAACCCTTGAGCTGAGAATGGGTTCTACTTTCTCATATGGTTGGGGAAAAAAATCCAAAGAAGAATAATACTTCATGACACATGACACTTATATGAGATTCAAACTTCAGTGTCCATAAATAAAGTTTTATTGGAACACAGCCATGCTCATTTGTTTATGTATTGTCTGTGCTTGCTTTCACGCTACAATGGCACAGTTGAGTAGTTGCAGCAGAGACCTATGGGCCACAGAGCCTAAAATTTTACTCCCTGGTCCTTTGCAGAGTGTGTTGACCTCTGCCTTCAGGCATTTATTTTAACAAATTGAACGCTGCTGTGGGCAAGGCTGGGGCCAGGGACTGCAGAGAATACAGGGCAAAGTTTTATGCCTCCAGGAGTTTATAGGCTTCAGGCCAGGATGAAAAAGGTAGCAAACAATGCTGTTGGTGTGGTAGAGGTTGAGTACCAGTGTGTGGGGGACACATAGTCTGCAGGAAGGGCTGGACAGAGGAGTTTGGGCAGGAATGATCAGAACAATCTTCAGGGTGGAAGCGAGTTTGAGCAGGATTCTGAAAGGCAGGTGGGACTTCAGGAGGTGTGGGAGGTTCAGATGGGGAGAATAAGTGCATCCAACAGCTAGGAGCCAGGAAGACCCCAACCTGTTTAGGGGTCCTGAGAAGATGGCTTTGAGACTAGAAGGCTAGCAAAATGGTGGTATTTTGTATAAAAATACAGTTTTAAAAGCACATAAAAATTAAAATACAGCAGGTGAGGCAGGAGGAGGAACAGATAGGAAGAAACAGATGGGGGACTAGTTCAGGGCTCACTCACGAGGTCAGTGAATGGGGAGGGACGTGTCCACAGGTGTGCCAGGGCCTGAGGACCTGAGCTCCAGAGGGAAGTCAGGATTCAGGGGACAGTCTAGGGAAACTCAGCACAGAGATGCGGGGTGATGCAATGGGAAGGATGGCTTCTCGGAGAGGGAGTGAAGGAGCAAACAGAGTGGAAGTCAAAGCCTCCAGCAAGTCCCACAAATTAGAGAGAGGGAGGACGAAGAGGAACATCATCATGAACCTGAATCAACCCTGGCAGAACCTTCCAGACCCACCCCTCTCCCATCATTTACAGAAGCTTTGTCACCAAGAAATATGTCTGATTACATATAGAAAGAAGCCCCCAAATAGAGGCGTCAACAAGATATAGGGGTTTATTTCCTCTCACATAATGGAAGTCCAGAGGTAAATAGTCAGGGCTGGTGTGAGGCTCCATGTTGTTTGGGGGAGGGGTGCTCAGTCCCCTCCTGTCTTTGTCTTCCGTCCTGAGCATGTGGCTTCCGTCTCCAAGGTGTCTCATGGTTCATAAAGGCCAACGGAAAAGGAGGACGGCGGATGGGCACAAAGAAAGCTCCCCCCAGCTGAGTTGGCCTTCTTTACTGATATTTCCTGGATGTCCACTTCAATGACTTCCTCTAATGTCTCATCACCCACCTCTGCTGCACAAGAGGCTGGATGAGCTGACCCTTTAACTGGGTGCAGCACCATCCTGAATCAAATTAGAGCTCTGTAACTGTGAAGGGTGGGGAGAAAGGACACCATGTAGCCACAAAGGGGTGTTTGTAATTTCCAAAAGTCCCCATGTGCTTACTGAGGTGTTCATCTCATGTGGAGTGTGACTACAAAGTGACGCTTGACTTTTCCCAGTGACGTCACTAGGGTTCATGTCACCCAGGGCGGTAACTCATGGTTTCACCCCTCAACGGACCTCCTCCCGTACCAGACCATACAGAATCCTTAGTAATTTTTTTTGTACTAATGTTACTCATAAATCGTAATTCCCGTATATCACCCCTTCTTTTCCTTTAACTACTACTTCAGTCTCAAAAAAATTATTGCTATAGGTTCACAAATACTAATTACCACAATATTGTACCTAAAACTCCAGAAAATTTGACAAATTCAGTGACTATAAAAACACTGGTAGCAACGAAAACGACAGCGTGCTTGTAGCGCGTGCAGACGAAACCACTTGATTCAAAGCATCTTTGTAATTGGGTAATAATGACAGCTCTGACCGGAGGGCACTAGAAGATTCAAAAAGTAAATTAGCATAGAGTTTTAGCCTTGTAAGTATATTGATACATGTAATCTGGGCTTACGAAAAATGTTTTTGTTGTTATTACTAACGAAAGGGATATTTTTATAAAAAAATAATAAATCTCTACTAAAACACTGCACAAAAATTTTGTAGACAGTGATTTTGGTGTCACCTCTCTGACAATGTCACCTGGTGCAGTCCACACCCCCCACACCCCCCATACCCCCCTAGTGATGCCACTGACTTTTCTTTAGATGGCCAGAGCCTGTAGGTCCATCTGGTTCAATAGTTAGCTACCTGCCCAGGAGCCCCCAGGGACTCGCAGTCAACATCTGCATCACTATCACCACCTCCATTAGCAACATCATCAAAAAAATACTCAGGTTCCTGTTAGTGAGCAATGCTATACTGGGCCCTTTAGCCAAGGTGGCATAAAAATGACTGCAATAATAATGGTAATTGCTACCATTTACTCATGGCTTCTCACATGCCAGGCACAGTACTGAGTGCTTTAAATAAGCTTTAAGTGGTTTCATGCTCACAGCAGCCCTGTGAAAAGGTAGGTTAGGTAACTTGCCCAGAGTCCCACAGGATGTGAGCCTCCACCTGCCTGACTTCAGAGGCTGCCGTCTATATCCCTGCCTTCCAAACTTCAGTCTAAGCCATGAATAGGACCATTAGATAGCGGAGGTAGCCTATTCAGCCAACATGTGCATGAAGAGTGAGGAATCTATCACACAGAGATAAGTGAGTCCATTGGGCTAAGATCTGAGGAGTGTTGACCTAGTGGCTGAGATGCCACTTGGAAGACTGGAGAGGACTTTCTGGGCACACAGGGCTGCTTTGGAGAAGAGAGAGGGTAGGACTGGGCCTGGGCGACAAAGGATGGAGGGTAGAGAGGTGAGGACAAGGGAGGGAAGACCAGGCAAAGGAGAGCTGAGGCAAAGAAGATGAATGGAAGGTCCTGGCAAAGAGCTCAGAAAGTGACAGGAGCTCTTCATGTTACCATCTAACCATCCATATATCCATCCATCCAGTTATCCATCCCTCCATCCAGGCAGAGTAGTTTCAGCTATGACTTACTGTGAGGCTCTCCTGACGATAGTTCAGGTGGGACTGAGCTGGAGAGGAAAGCCTAGGGTTGCCCCCATAAATGCTTGACTCCTTCATCCATAGGAACTGAATCCACAAGTATAAATCCTTATGGTTTGCAGTGCATTTCTACTGATGTTCACTCACAGGATCCTTCCCACAGCTCCAGGAGGAGGCAGGTAGGGTCAAAGTCATCTCACCATTTTATAATTGAGGAAACTAAGAGGCAAGTACAAGGCTAGAAAGACTAGAAAGAGGTAGAATTGGGACTTGAACCCAGACGTCTTGACCCTGGGTCCTGTGCTCTCTAGACTATAACCCCCACTTCCTGTTAGGAGACCTTCAGGAGGACACTCTTCAGCCAGCCCTGGCCCTGCGCTGGTACACGTGGACACAAGTATTTTGCTCTGTGTGTTCGTCCTTTCTCCCTGCATTAGATTGTGTGCCCTTGGTGGCATTTTGGTTCCTTCCAACCACTTGACTATACACAATGGATACTCAAGAAGTACTGACCTGGATTTTAAGACCTTGGCTTGCCTAGCCCTAGGATACTGAATGAAGCATTGATAACCCCATAAAATGACCAGGGCACATTGCTCCCTGGTGGCCATGGTGCCATAGGGAAAGGGACAGTTCAGTCCTTGCATGAGGAAGAAGTAGATTTCATTAAGCCAACAAAAGCTGCCTTACCAATGACGTGCATGGTGGAGGGTTTGGATGTCAACTTTGGGCCTCTCTCACCCAGGCTTCTGAAAGTACAGTTTTCTTGTAGACAGCCACATCTGACATTTCAAATATGACTCACAGCTTGTTTGTCTATGCTTGGAGATCTTTCTGTGCAAGGAATCTCATGAAGTCCAGACACGCACCCAAGTGTCCATTTAGCAGCAGGCACTGGACCTGCCCTGAGCAAATTCCTTCTCAGAGGAAGGAGTTGGATCGCTGAGTGTTTTTCCAGGTGTCTGTTTGTCATTAATGAGAGACTTAATATTTCTAATAAGGAAAGACAGAGCAGCAGGTTCAACACAGCAAGCTTGCTGGTATCTGCTACTGACTGTCAATATAATAGCCTCTGCCTCAATTGGAACCACTAATAGATTAAAAGGCAATTTCTCCTCTCACCCAGGAGCAAACACGTCACCTGCATCTTTGCCCAATGGCCCTGGTTTGGGGGCATGGTTGTGTTGGATGGGGGTGGGATTAGTCCCCTTTGTGGCCATTTCATCCATCTGGGCTCTACACTGGGTGATTTTCAGCTTCAAAAGACATTGCTCCCCGAGTTCCTCCTGAGGTCTAAAGGATGGGTGGGGAGAGGCAGCTGTTCTGAGGGGCTCACTGTGTATGTTCCAGAATCTCCCCTGCAGACCCCCGCTGATGATGGATCTGAGGAACCAGGCTCTGAAGCCTCTGCTAAGAGCACTCCGACAGCCGAAGGTGGGGCCTCCCTCCTCCCATTGCTTCATTCAAACAGCTCCCTCCATGCGTCCAGCCTGTGCTTAGCTGTGCTTTGAGCCCATACGTGCCACCTTTCCTGGCTGCATTTGCTGCTACCTCCTGCTGTGGCCAAAAGATGTGCTTGTTCTGCTTTGCAGGCCAGGGGTCAGGCCCCAGAGTGTTGCAGGAACCCAGCCCAGCTTTCACGTCATGCTCGCTGGTGCCAGGTGTGGGCATCCTCTATAGTGTCTGTGCTTTGGAGGCAGCCACCCTTGGAGAGGCTGGGATTCGTGGCAGAGCAGGCCCCAAGCACAGTTCCACAAAATCCCCTGTTCTGTATCAGTCATCCTTCAAAAATTCCTTCAGAATCCCCTACCTTGCTCTTCTTTCATGAGCCAGCAGGTCTTGGAGCAGGATTTTGGATGAGGGGAGGGGCAGGTCAGTGCATGTGTCCAAGCCTACACTTTCAGGACAGGTCTTGGTTTGGTATCTTTCATTTCTTGGGCTCTGTGCTTGTTCTGGGCCTCTGGACTTTGACGACAGTATTTGTTCGGCCCTTCTAACCTGTCCTCTCCATACATTTGGTGTCTGGCTCATTATAAAGCTCCTTATGTTTTTCCTGAAGTGTTTCTTGGTCCTGATTTTGACCATCTTCTCTTGTGTCCCATCTGTGTCAGTCAAGACTGAGTTTGGCTGCAGATAACAAAACCCAACTAACTGTGGCATATATACGAAGAGGTTTATTTGCCTCGCACAATAAGATGTCTGGACTTAGGCAGTGGCTCTCCAGTGTCATTGATGCTCTTCTATCTTTTATCTTCTACCATCCTTTGTGGGTTGGATTGTTGCTTCATGGTTGCAAGATGGCTGCTGCATTTCTAGACATCACATCTGCCTTCTAAGCAGGAAGAAAGTAGCAAAGCAAAGTGGCCAAAAGGACCCTGACCACCAAATATGCCTTCCCCCCTGCTTATTTTAAAGCAAGCGCTTTCCTGCAAGCCTTACTAGGCAGACTTCCACTTATGTCTTATTGGCCAGAACTGGCTCTCGTGTTCAGCCCTGGCTGCAAGGGAGGCAGAGACATTGAGCATTTTGCTTTTCAGCCTCTTCAGTAGAAGAAATCAAGGGAGAAGGGAATTGAGAATGGCTTTTGAGTAACCAGTCTGCTGTATCTGCCCCTCCATTTCTCCCTCCTCCCTGAGAAGGTTCAAGGTTCCATCCTCAGCACTTCTCCAGGCCCTGCCCATTACTTTGGATGCTGTGTCACAGGGTGAGATTCTGGCCCCAGCATTTCCCCAAGCTTCCATCTTGGGAATAATTCAGAAAGTGACTGTCAAGTACAACCAATTGCCTGGTACAATGGTGCCATCTGTGGAGGATGTAGCAGGCATGGCTCTTACCCAGTGGTTCTTAGCTCGGAGAGGAGAATATCAGGTCAAATTCTCTTTGCTCCTCTTCTTAGAGCAGGTGACGCAAGATGTTTCCTGCTGATCTTGTTAGGACAGTTTTGCAAGTTGCCTCCCGCTCTGAGAAAGTCCCAAAACCCCAGTTCCAGATCTCGTGCCAGTCTCCCTGGTCAGGGTTTTCAGTGCTGCCACTGGCATTATTCTGGAAGAAGAGTCTTCCGACCAAGTCTCACCATGCTTCAGACCACAGACATCCAAGAGCTTTGGCTCCCGTCCCACAGGGAGGCGCCCTGCTGGGGCTGGGCTCTGCCCGGCTGCTCTACCTGCACCCGAGGCGACCGTAATTAAAGTGGACTTCACCTCACTGCCGTGGGCCCCTGGAAAGCTGCCGAAGCTGACAACTCCTACGATTGCCAGGAATGGCCGGGGAGCGTACCAGGGCATTGCTCGGGGAGAAATGCTGGTTTGGTAGTGCTCACCTTGGTGAGAGACTGACAGCAACTCCTGGTGTGAGATCTTCACCTTCCTGACTCTGCTGTGAAGGCAGACTCATCTGCAGGCCTGGTGCCAAGTGCCTGACTCTGGACAGGACCGGGCCTGTTCATTGCCACCTAGGGGACTCTGTGCTTCTGAACCATGGGTCATGGTTCAGGGTGGGATGGGGGTCAGAGCTGGAAGAAATCTTGGAGGTCATCTGGAGGTGACACTCCTGTTTTGCAGATGAGAAAACTGAGACTCAGAGGGACCAAAGGACTTGCTCAAAGCCTCACAGCAAAGCCATAGGCTCCCAGCCCTAACCCAAGTTCCTGCGCTGCCTTAGGGCCAATTCCATCCTCCTGCCTGGCCTTAAGGTCAAAGGGCTGTGCGCAATCAGCTGGTTTTCAATCTTTCTTCTTTAAAAATGCCTGGGGCCATCCTCAGCAGTCTCTTGCTGCGGTGGTTCCATGGGGTCTGCCCCCAGCTTTCCTGACAGATAGGCTGGGCGTTTCATGAGCCTTGCCGCTCAAATAGAAATTAACTTGCCTGCCAGGGAGGTGTTGGGCAGGACAGGCTCTGAACCCTGCTTTGTGGGGTTGCTTTTTTGCCCGCGGCTGCGTCCCCTCCTTCTTCCCCCTCCCGCACTGCTCCGCACGAGAAGCAAAGGGGAGGGGCTTGGCGTGGCTTGTCCCAGCCCCTCTAAGGGCATTCTTGGCGGTCTCCAGACGTGACAGCGCCCCTAGTGGATGAGAAAGCACCCGGCGAGCAGCCTCACACGAAGATCCCAGAAGGAACCACAGGTGAGGGTGACTCCCTGAGAGAGGGCTTTGGGCCCAAGGGCTCCACTGCTGATGGTGGAGGCCCCAGCTGGGTGCCCTGGCTGATCTGCTCGAGTATGGGGGTGTGCATTGGGATTATCCAAGTCTCCAAGTGAGGCAAGCATGTGGGCAGGACAGCTTCTGGGAATCTTGGATCATAAGGGGCTTGATGCACTGATGCCCTGGTGGTTCTGTGGCTTACTGGCCAGCCTTCTGAGGATTTGGGGCTTTCTGAATCCTCTTGGCCAGTGATCAGTTCTAGAGAGTTCCAGAGAGTTCTGGAGGGTTCTCTGAGGAAGGCTGGTGGCAGATCCCTGTTGTCTTTACACCTGAGATCAGTCTACCTTCCTTCTTGGACTCTGCCCAGAAGCAGGGTCACCTCCCAGGGGGCAGTTCCCCCCAGGAGCACCTGAGCAGGCAGCAGAGTCCAGATGACTGAGCATACATTTTGAGGATCCTAATTGGGCAGTCCCTGAGGAAAGGAGATGTAGGTAGTCTAGCATCTATTTCTGGAACTCTGTCGCCTTTGCAAACACAGCTGCATAAAACAAGCATGACAAGACTGTTTTGTCAACACAGATGACAGGGAATAGGTCAGATGAGACACTGGCCAGAAATAGCACTGGACTCAGGGCTGCCAGATTCGATCGGGAGCTGCCCAGCCCGGCTGCGGGTGCTGTGGGCAGGACTTTAGGGAATGGCCAGCACAGCCTGGTGCTCTCATACCATTTCCTGCATGTCCTCCGTACTGGGCTCACGTAAAGTTTCCAGCATTGGCTTGGCAATTCAGAAGGTGCCCAGTAGCTCAACAAGAAATGTAGACGAGTTCTGGAGAGAATTTCAGCAACAGTGGAGAAGAAGAAGATGTCCCCGGTCAGGAGTTTGTCTTTCCTCCCTAAAGATGGTGCTCACTGCAGCCGCTTGGGAAGCCTGCGGCATTTTCTAGGGCTCCGTGCACTGAGGACACCTACTACAGAGGCCCAAGCAGCACTACCTCCAACTCCTTCCAAGTACATTTCTTCTTTGTGAAATGGTAGAGAATTGTGTCTTCTGAGATGGGTGGAGGGGACCGTTCTCAAAGCTGGGCAGGGCCTCATTCTCAAGCGCGAAGAGCACTGAAGGTTGTGGAACAGACTCATGGGGTGAGGTCATGAGCAACTTTATGTTTGTCTCCCACTGTTCCTTTATCATTTATTCTGTGGGAGAAATTCTTCTCCTGCCCAGTATGAAAGCTCTAGCTAACTCTGGACTTTTCGATGACTCCTAGGTAATCAAAAGTACTTTAGTCTCCATAAGTCACAAAGCTCATTAGAATGTCCAGTCCCCTGTAGCAGTCGAAGCTCCTAACTTCACTCAGAGTTGCAGCCGCTCCCGTCGGGGCTGGAGTGGGTTGGGGGAGAGTAAGTGGAGCAGGGAAGCTCTTACTGGATTGGCACTTGTGTGAGCTGGCTTCATGCTGTCTGCACTTAGTAGGTGTTTAAAGTTGACTCTTTCTCTCCTAGGAACCTTTTTTGAATTCTTCCAGACTCTTCCTCCCAGTCCTTCACCATCCCCAGTTATCCTTACCTGAGGATCCCTTCGTCTGCACTTTATTCCAGCAGAAATATACTCTCTTCTCGGCCCCTAAAGATCTACCTCTAGCCTCAACTCTGCTGAGGTCTGCTTGCTCCTGTTGGTGGCCCTCTTGGACATGATCTAAGGTGTCCTCAGGCTCTCCCTAACCTGAACACATATTAGATCCTTGGGAAACTCGCAGACATTCTTTTCCCAAACAGTTTGGGCCCATGACTGATAGCTGGTATGCGGGACTCATTTTGCTCTGCTACCATCTCTCACCCTCTAGTTTTCACAGGTGGGATTCTGACAGCAGTCTGCCGTGTCCCCTCACCATAGGGGACACACATCAAGCTCTCTAAGTGGTGCCTTGATACCTTTTTGCTGGGTTTGAGATGAAGGTGGCCATTCCCCCCAACCCCAGTTTGGGAGGAAACTCACAGCACACAAGTCACTCTCTCCAAAGAAATCCTCCTCAAAGCTCTTCTCCCCTCTCTACCTTCTGGACTCTTTTATGTCCTCAGTGTGGTAGGAGGTTTCAGAGTTGGGTAGACATTTTTTCACCTATTTGTGCTTACTAATCTGTAGTGAACAATTTCAAAAACCCATGCGAAATTGTTCACTACAGATTAGTAAGTAAGCACAAATAAGCCCATGCTTACCTTGCTTACTGGGTAATCTGTCCCTGTCAGGGACTGTAAATTTTAAAAGAGGTTTTGATTCTGAAGAAAGGTGCTGTGGGGTTGGAAAAGAAACAGATGCCAACCATACCTAGAAGCAGAATCTTTGATGTGGTGAAAAAATGTGAAATTGCTCACTACAGATGATCCGGTAAGCAAGGTAAGCACTGTGCTTACCCTGCCTATTAGATAACCCACTCCTGACAACATGAGTCACTGCCCTGCTTGGATGAGCATGGCACCCTCTAGTTACCTTGTAAAATACTCTTCGGAGACATATAGAGGTCTGTGATGTGATGAGACCCCTGTCACACATCCTCCCACCTTTGGTTTCTCTTGGCGCCTCCCTTGTTGGGTCAGGGGGAGTTGGGGGATGTCACTGCCTCCGTTTTCTGACTCACGACCAGGAGATCGCTGCTCTGTGTTGGCACATGAAAGCAGAGTCGTCTGCCCCGTGCCATGGCAGTGATGTTGCCCTGGAATGCCTCCCTGTGCCCTCTGTCTCGAGGAGTCTATGGTCATTTAACTGGACTTGCTGTCACTCTGAGCCCTTCTTCCATCACTTTGTCAGAAACAAACTCAGACCGAATCTACCCTCAGAGTTGTCCCTCCATTTCAGTCAGCTCAGCCACGCTCAGTGCTATTGTCAGATGGTGGCTCATGGAGCTGTAACTATTGGACCCCATGGGCAGCACAGTATCTTGGCTGTGGGGGTCCAGAGGGTGAGTGCCTATGAGCGGGTGGGTGGTGGGCTTCCTGAGCCCACGGCTGGCCCTTTCCCACCTTGCCACAGCTGCCTGTGACAGCCAACTGGCCAGGTGTTTATGAGGCCATGATGTGGCTGTCGGGAACTCAGGAAATGTTCTTTTCCCCAATCCCAACTCTCCATGGTGGGCTTGTGTTGGACAGTGGTGGTAACTTTGCATTTCTGCTTTAGGCAGTGATACTGGGTCATCACTGGTGCCTCTTAAGATGTCTGGGAGATAAGACTGATGGTCAATCCTGTAGACTTCTCTCAGAGGTGGTAGCCCTCTCTCTGTCACTGTCTATCAGTGTATCTTGGTTCTTCTGGTGTTATGAGGCCAGTGCATGTCAATGGGTGACCAACTTGTGTCCTAAACTCTTTCTTCTAGAGAACTGTTTTCGTTGTCCTATAGCAATATCTCGATTTTTCATGATGCAGAAATTGGCGTTCTAGGTATTAAAGCTTGTTTGTTGTGGTACTATTGTGATCAGGAACTGTTGTCAGTCTTCTTTGTTTTGGGTGAGTGGTGACTCCCTAACCAGGAGCTCAAGACACTCCAGAAGCTGCTCACAGGTGCTGCTGCCCTCCCTCCAGCCAGGTAGCGTATGTTCTGGGCTAATGTGGTTATAGGGGTTTGTCCAGTAGTTTATAGGAAAGAAACTCAACAGCTTTTGGGCACCTACCATATGCCAGGCACTTTGCTAAACATGTGCACGTGAATTATCTTATTAACCCTCACCACCGTCCTACAAGATGAAGGATGAAGAGATATCATCACCTTGGGGTTCTCAATGAGGAAAC